TCCACGGCTTTGTCATCGGAGGTGTTCCACCTCTGTTAGTTGTGGAACTTTGTATTGAACTACGTCGAGAATCTCGAGGACTCTGTTTGCAGGGTGTTACTAAAGGTGTAGATTTTTTCGAACTACTCTTGGAACTGTCGATGGAAGATGATTTTAGTTCAGGGCTTTTCCATAACTTGATATTCTTTATCTCGTTGGATTAGAGCATGTCTTCGTTCTAATTCAAATTCCTCTATCAAACGTTTTTGAGAAGCCTCAGTATTTGCATCAATGTTATTAAGCTGCTTTATAGAAGTTGTGGGTGATTTATCTCTCAGATTAACTACATTTTCTTTATCATTTAGAGATGATAAGGATACTATCTGCAGTCTTAGGTGATGGGACTTCTTTCCCTTTAACTGAGTTTCTCGAAAGATTTTGCTCTTGTGTTTCACTTTGTAAAATTGTTTTTTTGATTTGTGATGCATTTTCTTCCGGTGATCTTACACTTTCCTTGAATTTTTCGTCACTGGATGTGGTATTTAATTCAGTGATGGCGTTTGATTCCATTTTCTTTAATTTGTTTAAACTCTCTATTGACTCAGGCTTCGATAAGTTAGTTTTAGCACTTGCGGGTCCTTTACGTCTTGGTGGCATTGGACTGCTTGGTATCATTTCCATATTCCATTCTAATGAAGGCTCCCTTAAATTGGGTTTCGGTTGCAAATGTTCTTCTACTGTTAAATGTGACTCCATGGGGTTGTTAGTAGAAGCAGTCGGCGTTGTAGAATTTGTTTGTGATTCTTTGGATTTAGTGCTGCTATCAGAAGTATTCTGTTTATCATCTTCCAAGGAATCAGTATCCTTGTTTTGAGCAATGGGTTTCAGAACCTTTGTAAACTCTGTAACATTTTCGGGCAAATTACTTTGAAAGCCATCGTCTAATGATTTTGTAACTACAACTAAAGGTTTTTGGGAAGCAATTTCAGAGGATTTCGCAATATTTTTTGATATTTCTGGTTGGTCTTGTATAAAATATTTGTATGGAGTTTGAGATTCATCGAATAAAACATCATCTTCATCTATAATTCTTGGAAACTTTAATGGTTTCGTAGTATTTTTAGAGTTATCTTTCTCGAAACTGGCTTCCAAATCGTTTCTGGCAACAACCATCATTAAATCTTGCACGGATGGTGGCATATTAGTTGGTGATAATCTTGATAATTTCTTTTTTATTCTTTGTGGAGCTAAGGGAGCAGGAGAATCACTAGACGATGAAAGACTTTTTTGTCTGCGTTGTGGTTTAGTCGGAAAATTAAATTCATTCGCAGTAGTATTCATAGGAATCTTAGTGACAATGGAATTGACATCAATTTCTAATGATGATTCTTTATCAGCATCTCTTTCCAAGGATTGTACTCTGTCTAATATATCTTCATCTAAATGTTCCTCCTCTTTATTAATTGGTGATCGTGGTGTTATAGCTATTAACTCATCATTCGAGTCAAATTCTACATTCACTAGCATTTCATCGGAAAATTGACTAAATAATTTCTCTATGCTTTCATCCTCTGAAGAGCCCCGCATTTGGACGGTAACTGGAGCCACACTAGGACTTTTACTTATGGATGTACACAAGGAATCTGTATCATAATTATCTGTGCTTAATATAGTTTTATTTAAATTTACATCAGTGTTTAATTCTTCTACAGTTGTTGCATGTTTTTCTAAATCGGCCGCCGCTGCAAGTTCTAACTTCTCAGTAAGTGATGCATTAGACAATCTGCGAGACTGTAGACTAGTCTGCGAACCACGTCGAGAACTACTTAGAGATTTGTCACAGCCAGTTTTGGGCAAATTCTTTATATCTTCTACCAAAGGTCTCACATTAACGGGCGTTTCTTCGCTGGTATTCTTATTTTGCGCAACATGTTTTTCCAAAATCTGCTCTTTTGGTTTTTTCCTGAACAGTATCTTTATCTATATTGACGACTTCCGATTTCTTGGGACTTACTTTGGTAGAAGTTGGATTATTTGTTTGCTTACTAACACTTATTAAAGCCAATTCTTCCAATGAAGTGTAGATGGCTTGTTTATTCATGTTTACATTAGAGCTTTGTAATTTCTTTTCGGGTGATTTTTTTTTTCTGGCGATTTTTTCTTTTTAATTGGTGATTTCCTCTCTCAGGACTTTTTTGTTTTAGTCCAAAGAATTTAGCAAATTTCGATTCTCTGTATTGTATTGGCAAATCATTGTAAAGACGTTTTTCTTCAGGTTCTTCCTCACTTTCTTTAGCTTGCTTTTTGTTATGAAAATCATTTCGTTTCTTTTGCAGGAAATTCGTAGCCTCACTGCGCCACTCTGTTTTTAAGTATTCCATAGTCTTTTCCAAATCACTGAAATTGGTCCGACTCACGCGATACTATGGACTCTTTCGATTTATTTAAATTACTTGTTGTGGATTCCATACGTCGCAATTTGAAGACATGATCTGATGAACCCATCGAACTCAACGATTCGAAGCGTTTAAGTATGTTCTGCACACCACTAGGACGATCGCCATCTTCTTTTGCCATTTCCGACAAATCGTTTGTTGCTGTCGACAATCATACTACTCCTGCGTTGTAATTCACCCTCTCCAAATGATTTGGCTTTGAGCAATTTCTTTCGTTTATCATTGGCACTGCTTGAGGTTTTCTTTGGTAATCCAAGATCTATGCCAGTTTCCTCTAAAATACGTTCTATTTTATCAGAATATCCTCACTAGGTGATTTTTCTTCTTGAAATAGTTGCTGATACTCCATACTGGGAGATCGTTGAGCCTCATTACCACTTTCTAGAATTTCGTCTAAAATACGATCATCATCGTCTTTAGGCAATGCAGTCTTCTTCTGGTTTAATGTTTTCTTGGCCTTAGTACCTTTTGGAACAATTTTTCTTATTATCTTAACATTACCCTTTTTTCCTGAATTGGCCACTGCTGTTGTAGTAACTACTTTGGCAGCAGGTTTCTTTTTTACTATATCTATAGCTCCATCCAATTGATTATCTTTTAAACTGTAATTTGTTGATCCCAAAGAGGTTTGGCGTTTGGGAGCTGTTTTTGCTTCCGACTTGTCAGTTGTATTTGATTTGCAGGTGACATGGTGTCTAAAGCTTTTTCCGTTTGAGACTTTTTCAATATATCCGCCACCGTTACCACGGACGGTCTTCTTTGAGGTACCGGACTGCTGGGAAAGTATTTGGTAAGATCTATCTCATTAAGAGTTTTCTGATTTTTGTTCAAAGCATTTGAGGCATTTTTCTCTTGTTTTTGATTTGGAAAATATTTTGATAGATCCACATTCGAGGGCACTGCTTGAGCACTAATTGTGGGAGTTTCCATTTGTGATTTTATAGAATCCAAAGTTCCCGAAAAGCTTTTTGCTTCAATTTCTTTTAGCTTATCTACCATTTTCTTATTGGGTTTAGGGGAAAACTTACTTTCTACTTTGTACAACATTTGGCCCATATCTTTGCTTTTATCTTTAACATTTGTATCCGATTTTGAGAGGTCAATTTTCTTAACGATATTTAAAATATTTTCAAGTTCCATTTTACTGTCAGATTTTGGAATTTTCGCATCAATGGAACTTTTAGCTTTAACTAAAGGACTTGAGGTTGCTGATTGGCTCTTAAAACTATTCGATCTACTGGTTGTAGGATTTTAGCAGGAGTTTCCTTTGATTCTGCATTGATTTTGCTCTGTACGCCTTTTGAACTATTTGCTGTTGTGGCTTCCAGTTTAGCTTGCGGGCGATTTTCTTGTTTTTTAAATCATTTAATAAATCTAAAATTGCAGCATTTTTTTTCAGCCTCTGTTTTAAATTTAGACTTAGGTGCTAATGTTTCAGTTTGTTCCTCATTTTTAATTGCTGGAGTCAAACTATCATTAAATTTAGATTTTGGCTTAAAAGGATCCGAGCCGTTTTGTGGCTTGGAATCCACGATCTTTTCTTCACTCTTATCTTCCTTTGCTGGTGTTTTTGGTGCAAAAAATTCATCTTTGAATTTTGATATGGGTTTTAAGAAATTATCCACCTTTTCTTCGAATTTCGTTTTGGCCGCCGCTTTATTGTCAGCCAACCACTTCTCCTTCATGGTCAATTTTTTCAAAATATCGCTACGTATGAGATTCTCCTTGGCAATTGTCTCTATATCCTTATTCATCTTAACAACATTATTTAAACGATACAATTTTTCCGTAATAGCATCTATATCAGCACTGAATTTGTGCTCTGAATTTTGTTCCAATTTTTCAATATCTGCTTTAGTGACAGAAGATAAACTCCTATTGCCATTTGTTAGCGAAGAAGCAGACTTGAACGAAATATCAGATGCATTGGACAAAATAGAATCCTTTCGTTCTTTACTTGTATCCACTTCTAAATTCTTATTATTTTCTTTTTCAGTTGCTACTTCATTTTCTGTTTTATTCTCGATAAAATCTTTATTATTCATAGTGGTAACGTCACTAGTTAATTTTACCTACATTTTTATAAATTTAAATTTTGTACATGAAACCAACACCATAATTGTATAAAGTAAAATGTAAAAATAAACAAAAAATATAATTTTTTGTTTTATAATGATGATGTGCGTATGATTTAAAGAAAAAAGTTTAAGGTATATTTAATAAAAGAAGACAAATTATATAAACATTTTATTTGCTTACCTCTGTTTCAGTATCTGTGGGTAAATTAGGAGGTAAAGGTGGTAAACGAACTTCTTCACGGCGCAATTCTCTAGCTTTAGCAAATTCTTCACCTTCTGTATCGTCTTTGCCGTCGTCTGAAAAGAGTGAAAATTGAATTAAAAAAAACAACATATTAACATTTCTCTGGGAAGAATTTCTGAAATATATAATTTAATTAAATTGTATTTGCTTACCTGCCATACCCTCACTGGAATCATAAGAATCGTCAGAGTCATCAGTATCTGAATAATTTTGTTTGCCAATCCACTCAGAGGCCAGTTGCAAAGTTTGAGCACCCAATGGAGAATCGTTTGCCTCTTCGAACATGTCAGAATCTGAATCGTGGTCCGAGTCATCTGAACTTGAAAGGTCTGATTCTGAATCATTATTGGATTCTGGTAGGAAATTGCGACCTGACCACTCGTGTTCATCTATAATATGTTCTTCAGAGGGTTCCCCGTCTGACATGGCATCGGTATTTTCGAATTCTATGCGTTCCGGTGTTTGGCCACGTTCCAAGAGATCCAATTTGGCAACATTATCGACTGGGCCACGTTTATCTGGCGTTCTAGGTTCATCACCCGATTCACTATTGATATATGTAGGCACAGGTGTTTTAGCCACTGAAGCAGCACTAGCAGCTGCCTCATTTTGTTGTTGTTGTGTAGGTTTCTATATAAAGACAAGGAAAGTGAGAAATATCTATGTATATTACAATAATAGTAATTTATAAATACCCTCTGTCCTGGTTTGCGTACCACCGGTCGTATTGCTTTGGCTGGTAATCTGAAATGTTGTGTACAATAGAAGCGACCATTGGGATCGTCACGATCGAAGGCATAAGCTCCCAATCGTAAGTTTGTATGACAATGATGACATTTAAGACAACCTCGATGCATAACCAAATTTTCTGTTTGCAATTTTTCCATAAGATATACGGTCTGCTTGCAGAAATGACACTTTTCAGAGGCTGCTTGTTTCTTAAAGGCCAAAGCCACTTTGGTACTCTGAGAATGTGAGGCAATAAAATGTTATGTCATTAAATAATTTATATAATAATCTTAACTTTTAATATAATAAAACATATTTCATAATTATTGTAGTTAATGTTACAATTTTATTAATTTTGTATGTAAATGATGATGTTTTTGTTACTTGTTTATGAATTTTCGAAATTGTGAAGCAGCGAGTTTTGATATTTATATTTGCTATAGTTAGTGCGATTTTCTTTAGATGTTAATGAAAATAATGAAATCAATTACATAAATAATAATTGGACAATAATTAAGTAATAAAATCTAGTAAATAAAAAATTTATAAAAAAAATTCAAATAAAAAATAGAAAAATTTGTGTTTTTGTGGCGGTTTTTAATGTTTGGATAGATGATGATGGTACTCACTGATTTTGGTACTACTGTAGGGGGATTCTTTTCTTCCGATGTATCGTCACGTTTTACAAATTGCCCCGCTATTGAAGCAACTTTACCCACTTCCAACACATTACCCTCTTTCAATTGTTTATCCAGATTCTTAAGCGTTTGATCGATTTCTTTGAATTTCTCTTCTGCGGAATCTTGGCGTGTGGGTTTTGACATTTTATTTTGTCTCGCCTGAAACTGTTCTCTACTCCACTTTGGCACCTTTTCACGACCTTTGGGTCCATGAACTTCCGTCTTCTTCGATTGTTCAATTTTTTTTTCAATTTCTCTTACATTCCAATCGTTGCTGTCGATTTTCCCTATGGCACGCATTAAATCTTTAGGCTTTTTATCACTGCCATAGGCATTACGTGATGAAATGCGTTGTTCCATAGATTTGATACGATCGCTAAATTGTTCATCTACATTGCGAGGCAGAGCTGAAGGTATATCACTACGTTCACGATCCTAGTTTTTGGTATTTTTTAAGGGCAATTGGGTGACGAATTTTGATTTGTTTGTTTTTAATATTTTTTTTTTATATTTTACAGCCAGGAGTTTGTGTTTGGAAATAAGGTTAAAAAGGTAGAGGGTATAAGTGTAAATGATGGGAAATTGTGTTTTTTGTTTTAGTTTTAGTGTTTTTAATTGTTATTATTTTTGTTGTTTAATTTAGGGAAATAAGGAAACAAAAATGCATTAATTAGGTTTAAAACAAAAGGGAGTTATGAAAGGAACGAAAAGAAAAAAATATAAAATTTAGTTATAAAAAATAATATTAATAAAAGTTTAATAAACAAAACAAAAGTTAAATAGATAAATAATTAATTAATCAATTAAAGAAACAAAGTAACAACACACTGAAAATATTAGTTTGGTTTATTTAAAAACATATTTTTTTATAAAAAAGTATCAGAATTAATTCTGATACTTGAAGTAAAGCTTCTTTTCGGCATTTCTCTGTTAGCTCTAGCATGGTTTAGCTATATAAACAAGTTAAAATTTACTAAAATTTTTTATATCAAATATCGCTTTTTTCATTAACACCACTTTCTAAAACTCTCCATTAAAAAATTTCCTGATGTTATTGAAATATTACATAGTGTTAATCCAAATAAAGTTTTTTATTTAAAAAGCATTATTGCAAAACGTCTTAAACACTTCATATTTCCAAATATGTTTTTTTTAAAGCGAAAAAGGAGATGCAAAGATTTGAAATAAATTGTCACAACTAAACTCTATCAAATTAGATTTCTGGCAATGATAAAAAGAACGACAATAACAAAGCTTCCATATACATACAAACATACATCCATCTATGTATAATGTACATACATACGTCAATAATGAAACATTCGTTCGCTTATTGTTTTATTAATATTGTTTAAAAACAATTAAATGTTATAACTCTTATGTAGTAGTATTATTTAAGGTCAGCTGTTAGAAAACATTGAACACATTTTATTTTTTTTTTTTATTAAATTTCATTTTCGAAAACAAAAGCAAGCACTTAAATTCATTGCACATGCGTCTTCAAAAACATCATTGATCATCTCTTACGGGATACAGTAATTTTCTTTCCAAATCTTTAACACGATCGTTGAATTCGGGAGCCTGCTGGCGATACAGAAATATCGAATAATCTTCAAAGGGAGTATTTTCATCGGCTTCACGTAAGAAGGTATTGGCTTGTAGCATGTGTAGAGATTTGTAAAAGTTTTGAGTTTGTTGATAACGTTGCTGACGTCGCTTACTTTGGCGATCTTGACGATTCAGTTCAATTTCTTGCAAACGTTTTTGTCGTTCCTCCTGATTTGTAGTATATAAAATTATTTAAGGAATAATTTAATTTTGTATTTTTCTTTAATAGGAAATGTAACAATTTTCTATCGCGTACATTTAAACATTTGTTTAACACAAACATTTTATGCAAAATCCTTTGTTAATTTATATAGCTGAATATTTTTTTTTTTTTTTTCGAATATATTAAGACAAGAGGTTTTGTTTCTTTTCTTGGGAAGATGGGCTAATTGAAAATATTTTAAGATGACACATACAAAATGGGACAATACAATACAAAGACAATTGTAGAAATACCTGATCATATGACGAAGATGATGTTATGATGTCATTACCCAAAATATGTGTATTTTCATGATAATGATTTATTATGAAATGAACCTTTATAATTCAAAAATTTTGTTTTAATGTACATGAGAGTTATCAATCAATCAATACATTATATTATAGCAGCAGAAATACATAATATTATTGATTGAAAAGTGATCGTATATAAATTTATACAAAATTAAGTTTAACTTAAGAGATCATTTGAAAATGAATTTTATATAATACAAAATGAAAATATAACAAAAAAAATGAAAGCAAAAAAATAATTTATACAAAGTTTTAAAACCATTCAATGGTTTGCATATTGAAAGATCACTTTTCAACGTCTATGTATAACATGAGAAATAACATTCGAGAAAAATCCAGAAATTCTACTCACAATATTGGCAGCTTTATCAGCACTTCGGCGTTTTTTGGCACGACGAGGAGTATCAGTTTGTGCTGAAAGACAAATCAGTTATTTTGATGATTAAATAAGTCCTTATATAAAGATTTACCTGCATTGCCTGCACCTGCAGCATTACCAACAAACTGTTGTTCGTAACGTCGTTGGCGTTTTAGTTTCTCCTCATCCAGTACAGAGCGTCTTTGCACCACTTGAGGAACATCCACCAGATCTTGTATGGGAGATTTGGCTTTTTGTTTGGTAGAAAGTTGTAAAAGTTTCGAAAAGTCCGGCTGGGCATGAGCATTGTTAGTTTTGTATTTCTCACGCAAATCAGAGAAATCAATTTTGGGATGCTTTACATGTGGTATTTCACCACGAAATACTTCACAGATTTGTTCTAAGTAATTAAGCCAAACTTTCGATTCTACATTGCTTAATTGTAATGAATCTTTGCCACTCATTATGCGTGGTATATGTAATTCTTTGTCTAATATCTTAAAAGCGAGATCATTTTGTTCCACGGGGCTTAAATCTTTAACTGTATTAAAATCGACTAGATCTGGACGATAACTAAAGAAAGAAGCAAATAATTTGAATTATAATTAAACACAAATTCTATCAAAATTATTACCGATTTATTAAAGCACATAAAACTTTGCCATTGGTAAAAACATCTGAAACTTCTTTAAGTTCCTTGGTAAATTCGTAGGCATGTAATTGGGCACAGATCCACCTCAGTAATACAGTACTTAAAGGCATAGTATCTATACATAAAGAAAAAAACAATTATCGTTATTAAGTACTTTAAAGCTGTGACAGCCATCTGAGACAAACCTCCACTGCGACGTTTCCTGCGCACTGGAGTATCGACCTGAGTAGGTTGTAAAGCATTTGTATCCATAAATGTTTGTTCTAAAACGCTATTATCATCTGTATCGATTAAATGTTTAACCTGCCAAACATTTACCGATGTACGATTTAAATTGGGATAGCGAGTGGCGGGATCTACCGTATAACTACCAATATCACGCTGCAAGTTTTCCGGCGTGGTTTGACCCAAAAGTCTACAATATTAAAAAGAAACATTTCAATGAATTGTTTTACCAATTTACAATGTTTAATGTACCTGTAAATACTTTCACGCTGAGCTACAACACCCAAAGTACTATTGCCAGAATTGGACCATAGTTTTATGGCATATGCAGCATCCATACTGGATAAGAAACCACGAGCACAACCAGAGCCTGTGGGCCAAAAGGGCTCCAGCAAACTATCACCCACCAGACATTGCAAGAGACGGAATCCTTTGCGCACTATTACACGACAAGAAGATTCAGCGGCAAACATGGAGGTAAAATCAAACATGGCCACATCGGGTTTTCCATAATGATTAACAGCAAATTCTAAATTTGGCATTTGATATTTGGTAGAAAATTCAGCAGCTTCGCGAGCATAGTCTAAAAGTTTCTCAGTATTTACATTAATAGGAGCTAATAATTCCGCAGGATCTGCAAAGTCCTTTTAAGAAAGAATTTTAATTATTTTTTAAACTTTAAATTTTGTATTCCAAACCTAGACTTACTTGTAAAATAACTCCTTTGTCGATAAGACTATGCTTTTTGGCAGTCATTACAAAGTAATGTGTTTCATCCTTATAGTATACAATATTTTCCAAATCTATACCAGTTGTATGGTACAACTCCTTAAAGAAGGATTGATTGAATATAAACGCTACACCACTTATTTCCTCCGCCTTAGCTTCTGCTTCAGTTTTTTTATTTATGAAATTTGCCGTTATCGCTATGGCAAGTTTTCCTCGAAATTCTTTACGTTTAAAAGCCTCCAACGTATTGCGTTTACCATCTGCTCCTATTAGCACATCAAATTCATAATGCGATACGGCATGATCAGCCGGCGTAACCGATGCCCTCCAACCACAACCATCACCACTTGGTTCTATTGTGCGTTCGAACGATACACCCTCATGAATTTCAACGCCCAAGAGTAAAGCTACTTTAAGTAAAATACATTGCAACTGTCTAATCGATATATGATCTATGGAGCCAGCACAAAATTTTCCATAGAATTTCTTTGCACCCAAATTGCGTAGATCCGTTATAACAAAGGGCCACAAATGCAGAACATTGTTGCGCGAAATACGATCTCTCTTCTCAACCACCACCACTTTGGCGCCTAGCAGTTGGGCTTCGATAGCTGTGCGTAGACCACAGGGACCGGCACCAATTACTAGCACTCTTGTCCCAGTACAGGCTGTACCTTTGGCATAGGCTCGGTGAGCAGCTCTTGCATCGAATTTCTTCCATAAAGCCTGTGCCTTCCATGAACGCACTTTGGTTTTAAGCTTTGGATAGAACTCATTAAGGGGGGCGGGTCGTAAGCCAACAACATCACACATTTGGCGATGTAAGCCAAGTATTTGACGCATTGTGGTGGCCACACAAAACAAATCAAACATCTCGGCTGCAGCAGCGGCTGCCTCATTGTCAGCCATCTGTTGCGCCAACAGTTGCTGCTGCTGCATTTGCAGCTTTTGCTGTTGGCGTTGATGAGCTGACCGACTCATGCTGAAAACAAAAAACAAATAACAAAAATTAATTAATCGATTAAGAAAAATAACCATTAAGAATTACATATAATTAAAAGTTAAACATTGTTTATGAAAGTACTTTTTCTACAAAAACTTGAACAAATTGTTTATATTTAATTTACCACTTCACTGTGCAAACATAATAAATGGTAGTCTTTTGAGGAATAGTAGTATTATCATCTGCCATGGTTATTCTAATAAATAATTTACAGAATTTTAAACTTTTTCTTACAAACACGTTACTTTAGGTGTTGCTTTTCGTTTTGAAAGTTTATTTAATAATGAAAACTTTTTATCCTACAACCTGTGTTTATATATTCAAATGTAAAACAAAATAAAGAATATTATCCATTCATAGTCGCAAAACAAACAAAAAAGGAAGGAAAACGTCAATGAACCCATAATATTTTGTAAAATTGTAAAATGTTTGTGCGAATACTTTTTTTTCTTTCTTAAGCATTTTATTACAAAGAACATTAAAGGAGACATTCAAGATGATCAATTAATAATGTATCATTTGAATGAATTTATTTATGTCTACAATTGTCATAATGTTGTTTTCTTAATGTTAATAAATTTACTTTGTAATACACACACAACAGCCCATTTTACACAAAAGCTGAGGACAATTTAATTTAAATATTTTAAAGAAATTTATATTAATCATTCTCTGAGTATGAACATAAATAGGACTATTAAAGAAATTTTAATATATTTTTAGATTTCTTATCTATAGTCTAGTTTATAGCTTAGTCCATAGTCTAGTCTATAATTAAGCTTAGTCATTAGCCTAGTCTATAGTCTAGTCTATAGCCTAGTCTTTAAACAGAAATTTGTAACCGAATATGGCCATTAGACTAGGATTAATATTGAAATAAATCAAATTAAATTAAAAATATAGTATAGTCTATAGTCTATGGTATTGTCTATAATATAGTCAATAGCGCGATATATAGTATTATCTTAATTATATTCTATAATCAACCTGTATTTTACTGAAAAAATTTTTGATATCGGGATTTATACTGTAATTCTAAACTACATTTATGGTCTTGCTACAAATAATTTAAATATTTCTAATACATACATATTTATGTACACATTTTAATAAATATACCAATAAGTTCAGTAAACTTTAAGAGACAAAATTTGTAAGTACCTGAATCTATCTGAATCTATAAAATACATATTTCTCGGGTATCCGATAGATTAATTGAAACTGAATGTTATTTTTGTAATCATTAAAAACATTATCTCGCATAAAGGAAATAAATGTATACATGTGTTAACAATAACTAAAAGAAAAAGAGAGAAAAAACAATAACAAAAATGTAATAAATAATACAAGTACTAACAAAAATTTTTCTAAGTACAATAATATCAAGTTTATTAAAAAAAAAAAAAAAAAAAAAAAACTAAAAACAACAGGTACAACATACAAATACGAGGAGCAGTTGAAAAATTTCTTTTAAGTTTTAGCAAAAGTTTCAAATTATTATCTTAATTCTTTAAACATTTTTTATTTAAAAAACTAAGGGTTTCCCAGATTGCTGTCGTATGTTAGTGCTTTCAAATTAACCAATAAATCGAGACAACGAAGTAGTGTGGCTAATGGTAACGCCAACGACTCTTTTATACATTATTTTTTGGTTATGTATTTCTTATTTTCATGAGTTTTTATAATGTTTATGTTATAAAAATCTATAACAAAAATACATATAATATACAAAATAAAACAAGAAATAAACTTCAAGTGGGTCGATAAATAGAAAGAGGCAGTCTGTTGTTCTATCGACAGATAGACAGACTTAATAGAATATCACATGTGTTTAGAAATAAAGTAAAAATACTAACCACATATAAAATGCAAAATTTTTTTTGGTTTAAAATTAAATTCTTTTAAAGTTTTTCTACTTATTAATTTATTTATGCACGTGTATGCTTTACATACAAAGTTTCCAGGGGCTTTCACAGTTCTAGTAATTTGTTTAGAAGTTTAACTTTGTATTTTCTTACAGCTTAATACTTTTAATTGAATTGTGACCAGTTCGCTAGTAGACGGAGTAGTATAGTCTAGTCTATAGTCTAGTCTATAGTCTAGTCTATAGTCTTGTCTATAGTCTAGTCTATAGTCTAGTCTATAGTCTAGTCTATAGTCTAGTCTATAGTCTAGTCTATAGTCTAGTCTAGTCTATAGTCTAGTCTAGTCTATAGTCTAGTCTAGTCTAGTCTATAGTCTAGTCTAGTCTATAGTCTAGTCTAGTCTAGTCTATAGTCTAGTCTAGTCTAGTCTATAGTCTAGTCTAGTCTAGTCTAGTCTAGTATAGTCTAGTCTATAGTCTAGTCTATAGTCTAGTCTATAGTCTAGTCTATAGTCTAGTCTATAGTCTAGTCTATAGTCTAGTCTATAGTCTAGTCTATAGTCTAGTCTATAGTCTAGTCTAGTCTAGTCTATAGTCTAGTCTATAGTCTAGTCTATAGTCTAGTCTATAGTCTAGTCTATAGTCTAGTCTATAGTCTAGTCTATAGTCTAGTCTATAGTCTAGTCTATAGTCTAGTCTATAGTCTAGTCTACAGTCTAGTCTATAGTCTAGTCTATAGTCTAGTCTATAGTCTAGTCTATAGTCTAGTCTATAGTCTAGTCTATAGTCTAGTCTATAGTCTAGTCTATAGTCTAGTCTATAGTCTAGTCTATAGTCTAGTCTATAGTCTAGTCTATAGTCTAGTCTATAGTCTAGTCTATAGTCTAGTCTATAGTCTAGTCTATAGTCTAGTCTATAGTCTAGTCTACAGTCTAGTCTATAGTCTAGTCTATTGTCTAGTCTATAGTCTAGTCTATAGTCTAGTCTATAGTCTAGTATATAGCCTTGTCTATAGTCTTGTCTACAGACTTGTCTACAGTCTAGTCTATGTTCTATTCTATTGTCTAGTCTATAGTCTAGTCCATAGTCTAGTATATAGTACGGTCCGTAGTATATACTACAGTCCATAGTCTAGTCTATAGACCAGTTCAGTCTAGTCTAAAGACCAGTCCATAGTCTAGTCTATAGTCCAGTTCAGTCTAGTCTATTCTGTAGTATAGTCTATAGTCAAATCTACAGTCTATTCTATAGTCTTGTCTACAGTTTAGTCCAGTCTATAGCAGAGTTCAGTCTATAGTCCAGTCTATAGTTTAGTTTATAGCACAGTCTATAGTCCAGTCTATAGTATAGTCTAGTTCAGTCAATAGTCTAATCTAGTCTAGTCCAGTCTATAGTTTAGAATATTATTTGAAATAAAATTGTATAAATGTATTTAAAAATTATTTTATACATTTGTTAAGTGCATTTAAACATTTGTCTGGAATTGCGCCTAGAATAGGTACAATAGGTGTATCCGTTATGTATATAAATATTTTCTACATTTCTCTCTCAAACATACATACATATTTATACTAAAATCAGACAATAGTAATGATGCAAATGAGGTGTCGGCCACAAAGATCATCATCATCATGCAAACGAATAAACTTTGTCACTGTCGCTAAATGACTGACAACACAAAAAAAGAAATTTAAAACAATAATTACTTAAAACATGACGATGTTCATGATAATAATAAAATAAATTTTTTAGTAAGTTTTTTCAACAAAAAAGTTCATTGTAGTCATAAAAATACATATGTTAGGTTGATGGTGCCCAGCGAAGGTGTCGGTCGGTCATTATAGTAATTTAACAGAATTTTTCCACCTGTGACATTTAAATTTAAACTAGAGTAAATTTATTACAGTTTGGTTATGGAATTTTAATAAAATTTTTAATAAAATTCCATAACCAAAAGTATTTAAATGTTATAGTGAGATGACAAAAACCGATATTACAAATTTGTATTTTAAATAAAAACATAACCTATAACAATTATTTATAAATTAATATTGAAGAACTAGTTTGAAATTCACTTCAGTAAAAAAGTAAAATCAATTAGTAATTTACATACAATTCTAGAATTTTTTACATTTTGTGAGATTAAAAAAATTTTATTAAAAATGACATAACCTCAAAATTTAAAAGTGCATTATAAAAAAATATTTAATGGAAAACGTTTTCCTTCTTCATTTATAAAAATATTTCTGAGAAGACTAACTTTAGTTTAGTTTAGTTTCAATTGTGAATAATGTGTTTTACAATGATTTCATTTCTCTTTAAAATTCAATCAGTCTCAACAAACAATAATAATTTACTAAGATTTTTATTTTGCTTTGTTTTTTTTTTTTTGCCATCATTCTTTCATTCATTGTCTTCTGCTTCTAGTCAACTTCCAAAAATTCCCTTTACCACCACTTCTGCTTTTCGCAGTCCACATGTTCGAAATGGCGCAAAACAATGCATTGTTTATTGAGGCAGTATTTTATATTAAGACAATTTCTCATATTTTTTTTTTTTGTGATTAATTTTATTTTTATTCTCGTTTTGTTGTTGCTATTATCCTAGTAAAGAATTTAATAAATATGAATATTACGGTGGTGTTTTTAACTCGTTTTCGAATTTGAGGAGGTATGGTTTAGATTTTAAAATCTGGAATTTTTAGTCAAATCGTTATTGTGTTAGGATGTTTAAGAGTAATACACTAAAAACAGTTTATGTGACCTTTGACCTCCAATATCTCACATACATAAGTTTAATAAGGATTCAGAACATTCATGTTATAAACTCATTTCAACTCAAAACCAATGGTTATCATTATCCGATTTGATGTAAATTTTAAGAGTTTAACTAATTCATCAAGAATCCTATAATTCCCAAAATAATAACGAAAACATTAAAAGCCACCCTAATGCCTTACGTGTGTGGGTGGTTGGTTGGTTGAATACAAAAAAAAGTAATAAACATGACACAACAAAACAACACCAAACAAAGAATGAATCATTTTTGGTAAGATAAAACAAAAACAAAAATAAGAAATTCATTTTAGTTAAAACAAAAACAAACACGAAAAAAC